AAGAATAATAATTTTATTGTTTTATATTTTTATTGTTTTATATTTTTATTATTTTATTGTTTCCCTTCTACGTGGTGACTTTACCGAAAGAACCAAGAATAATAATTTTATTGTTTTATATTTTTATTGTTTTAGATTTGTATTATTTTATTGTTTCCCTTCTACGTGACTTTACCGAAAGAACCAAGAATAAGAATTTTATTGTTTTATATTTTTATTGTTTTATATTTTTATTATTTTATTGTGTTCCCTTCTACGTGGTGACTTTACCGAAAGAACCAAGAATAATAATTTGACTGTTTTATATTTTTATTGTTTTATATTTTTTTATTATTTTATTGTTTCCCTTCTACGTGGTGACTTTACCGAAAGAACCAAGAATAATTATTTTATTGTTTTATATTTTTATTGTTTTATATTTGTATTATTTTATTGTTTCCCTTCTACGTGGTGACTTTACCGAAAGAACCAAGAATAATAATTTTATTGTTTTATATTTTTTATTGTTTTATATTTTTATTATTTTATTGTTTCCCTTCTACGTGGTGACTTTACCGAAAGAACCAAGAATAATAATTTTATTGTTTTATATTTTTTATTGTTTTATATTTTTATTATTTTATTGTTTCCCTTCTACGTGACTTTACCGAAAGAACCAAGAATAATAATTTTATTGTTTTATATTTTTATTGTTTTATATTTTTATTATTTTATTGTTTCCCTTCTACGTGGTGACTTTACCGAAAGAACCAAGAATAACAATTTTATTCTTTTATATTTTTATTGTTTTATATTTTTATTATTTTATTGTTTCCCATCTACGTGACTTTACCGAAAGAACCAAGAATAATAATTTTATTGTTTTATATTTTTTATTGTTTTATATTTTTATTATTTTATTGTTTCCCTTCTACGTGACTTTACCGAAAGAACCAAGAATAATAATTGTATTGTTTTATATTTTTATTATTTTATTGTTTCCCTTCTACGTGGTGACTTTACCGAAAGGACCAAGAATAATAATTTTATTGTTTTATATTTTTATTGTTTTATATTTTTATTATTTTATTGTTTCCCTTCTACGTGGTGACTTTACCGAAAGAACCAAGAATAATAATTTTATTGTTTTATATTTTTATTGTTTTAGATTTTTATTATTTTATTGTTTCCCTTCTACGTGACTTTACCGAAAGAACCAAGAATAAGAATTTTATTGTTTTATATTTTTATTGTTTTATATTTTTATTATTTTATTGTGTTCCCTTCTACGTGGTGACTTTACCGAAAGAACCAAGAATAATAATTTGATTGTTTTAGATTTTTATTGTTTTATATTTTTTATTATTTTATTGTTTCCCTTCTACGTGGTGACTTTACCGAAAGAACCAAGAATAATAATTTTATTGTTTTATATTTTTATTGTTTTATATTTTTATTATTTTATTGTTTCCCTTCTACGTGGTGACTTTACCGAAAGAACCAAGAATAATAATTTTATTGTTTTATATTTTTATTGTTTTAGATTTTTATTATTTTATTGTTTCCCTTCTACGTGGTGACTTTACCGAAAGAACCAAGAATAATAATTTTATTGTTTTATATTTTTATTGTTTTAGATTTTTATTATTTTATTGTTTCCCTTCTACGTGACTTTACCGAAAAAACCAAGAATAAGAATTGTATTGTTTTATATTTTTATTGTTTTATATATTTTTATTATTTTATTGTTTCCCTTCTACGTGGTGACTTTACCGAAAGAATCAAGAATATGTATTACATTGCTCTGTTTTTTCTTTTTTTTACCGTTTCTTGTTTCATTGTGTATGTAAATGGCAGAGATTAGGGATTAATAAAGTACAACCTTGACCACAATCATATAAACATCGATTTTATAGCAATATATGGGGGGGGGGGAGGGATGTGCCCCCCCAATTTATATTATAATTACGGCCTGGCTATATTCATTGGTTCTTTCGGTAAAGTAACGTGTGTATAAGTAAAATAAAATGAGCATTGTGCATTCGTTAAAAGCTGTCGCGAGTATTTATTGTTTGTTAATGCGACGGGGTTCAGAACCCACGCCCCATCCCTCGACGTGTGAATTTACCGAAATAACCAATGGGTTTACAATGGAGTTGAGTCATTCCTGCAGTCACGAAAGCCTCAATTCTCGAATCGCATTCTCCTGCGGAAGGGAGGGAGGGAGCTGCTGGTAGGAACGTTGTTGGGTGGCTCGGTCAATGGTCAGAGTCAACAACAACAACAACAGCGGAGGCGGCACCACGTGGTGTGGAATACACACCACGTGGTGTGTGTTCCGCCCCACGTGGTGTGTGTTCCGCCCCACGTGGTGTGTGTTCCGCCCCACGTGGTGTGTGTTCCGCACCACGTGGTGTGTGTTCCGCACCACGTGGTGTGTGTTCCGCACCACGTGGTGTGTGTTCCGCACCACGTGGTGTGTGTTCCGCACCACGTGGTGTGTGTGTGTTGCGCACCACGTGGTGTGTGTTCCGCACCACGTGGTGTGTGTTCCGCACCACGTGGTGTGGAATACACACCACGTGGTGTGTGTGTTCCGCGCACACCACGTGGTGTGTGTGTTCCGCGCACACCACGTGGTGTGTGTGTTCCGCACACACCACGTGGTGTGTGTTCCGCACACCACGTGGTGTGTGTGTTCTGCACACACCACGTGTGTGTGTGTTGCGCACCACGTGGTGTGTGTTCCGCGCCACGTGGTGTGTGTTGCGCACCACGTGGTGTGTGTTCCGCACCACGTGGTGTGTGTTCCGCACCACGTGGTGTGTGTTCCGCGCACCACGTGGTGTGTGTTCCGCGCCACGTGGTGTGTGTTCCACACCACGTGGTGTGTTCCGCACAATGTGCCCCACTGTGAGGGCGGGGCACAAGGCTGTCGTGAAGTTGGTGAAACGTTGAGTTTTATAAGGGGGGGGGGCACCACGGGGTGACCAGCCCCTCCCCCACACCCAGCCCCACCCTCCCCACCCAGCCCCTCCCCCACCTAGCCCCTCCCCCACCCAGCCCCACCCCCCACCCAGCCCCTCCCCACCCAGCCCCACCCCCCACCCAGCCCCACCCCCCACCCAGCCCCTCCCTCCCCACCCAGCCCCTCCCTCCCCACCCAGCCCCTCCCCCCACCCAGCCCCTCCCCACCCAGCCCCTCCCTCCCCACCCAGCCCCACCCTCCCCACCCAGCCCCTCCCCCCACCCAGCCCCACCCCCCACCCAGCCCCTCCCTCCCCACCCAGCCCCTCCCTCCCCACCCAGCCCCTCCCCCCACCCAGCCCCTCCCCACCCAGCCCCACCCCCCACCCAGCCCCTCCCTCCCCACCCAGCCCCACCCCCCACCCAGCCCCTCCCTCCCCACCCAGCCCCTCCCCACCCCCCACCCAGCCCCTCCCTCCACACCCAGCCCCTCCCCAACCTCTCCACCCAGCCCCCTCCCTCCCCACCCAGCCCCTCCCCACCCAGCCCCTCCCCCACCCAGCCCCTCCCTCCCCACCCAGCCCTTCCCTCCCCACCCAGCCCCTCCCCACCCCCCCACCCAGCCCCTCCCTCCACACCCAGCCCCTCCCCAACCTCTCCACCCAGCCCCTCCCTCCCCAGCCAGCCCCTCCCCACCCAGCCCCACCCCCCACCCAGCCCCTCCCTCCCCACCCAGCCCCTCCCTCCCCACCCAGCCCCTCCCCCACCCAGCCCCTCCCCCACCCAGCCCCTCCCCCACCCAGCCCCACCCCCCACCCAGCCCCACCCCTCCCATGTTTGGATGCACGACGGACGGACGGACGGGCTGCTGCTGCTGATGTAGTAACGAGGAGGCGTTCCTACCGGTATAAGTTAAATTATTCACCTTCTTAGTTCTTTCGGTAAAGTCACCACGTTGAAGGGAAACAATAAAATAATAAAAAAATAAAAAACAATAAAAAAATTCTCACGACGTTTCGACCATAACACAACCGGTCGTCTTTCAGGTTGTGTTATGGTCGAAACGTCGTGATAATTTTTTTATTATAATCTTAGTTTTTTCGGTAAAGTCACGTTCAAGAGAAACAATAAAATAAAAAAAAATATATATAAAACAATAAAAAAATTCTCACGACGTTTCGACCATAACACAAACGGTCGTCTTTCAGGTTGTGTTATGGTCGAAACGTCGTGATAATTTTTTTATTATAATCTTAGTTTTTTCGGTAAAGTCACGTTCAAGAGAAACAATAAAATAAAAAAAAATATATATATAAAACAATAAAAAAATTCTCACGACGTTTCGACCATAACACAAACGGTCGTCTTTCAGGTTGTGTTATGGTCGAAACGTCGTGATAATTTTTTTATTATAATCTTAGTTTTTTCGGTAAAGTCACGTTCAAGAGAAACAATAAAATAATAAAAAAATATATAAAACAATAAAAAAAATTCTCACGACGTTTCGACCATAACACAAACGGTCGTCTTTCAGGTTGTGTTATGGTCGAAACGTCGTGATAATTTTTTTTATTATAATCTTAGTTCTTTCGGCAAAGTCACCACGTTGAAGGGAAACAATAGAATAATAAAATCTATATATAAAACAATAAAAAAATTCTCACGACGTTTCGACCATAACACAAACGGTCATCTTCAGGTGTGTTGGTTCGCATAACTTTATTTTGAAGCGGTGCATTTAAATAAATAATTAAATCTATCCAAAAAACGCCGCAATTATTTATTTAAAGAAACCGTAAAAAGTAAAATTTATTTATTTATTGAAATGCACCGCTTAAAAATAAATTTATGCAAACCAACACACCTGAAGACGACCGTTTGTGTTATGGTCGAAACGTCGTGAGAATTTTTTTTTATTGTTTTATATATAGATTTTATTATTTTATTGTTTCCCTTTTAGCGTGGTGACTTTACCGAAAGAACTAAGAATTATGAATTACTGCAGTCACGAAAGCTTTTAAAATCAAAATTTAAGTTATTCAGTTATACAGACCCGCCCGTTGGGGGCGTGTCTTGCATACACCGGAAGTGACGTCATGTCACTGCTTGCCGCCGTGACGTCGCGAGGCATAACAGGAAGCTGCCGCTGAAATCTGAGGTGATAGATTTTCCCCAATCGCTGTTGTTGTTGTGGTTGTTGTTGTGGTTGTTGTTGTCGTGGTTGTTGTTGTTGTTGTTGGTTACCGAGTAGGAGCTTCTCTCTCTCTCTCTCGCGTAGGGATGTCAATTGAGTATCAGCGAGCATGGGAATCGATGTCCAGGTTGGGGGGGGTGGCATTACAACGTGGGGCCTAGCCACGCGGGGCCTTGCCTCCTGCCCCTTGCCTGATGGCATTCGCTTGAATGATCTCGCTTGAACTTGACCCGAAGCTTTCACGGCCGCAGGGATTACTCTTCGGTTCTTTCGGTAAAGTCACGTAGGTATAGAATAATATAAACTTAGAGCCACAATGCACTACAACACGGAGAGTCGGCTAACACGACGGTCAACACCCCACCTGGTCGCTTAACGTTCTTCCAAAGGATTGATACATTTGAGAGAGAGAGAAAACACACGGAGACACACAGACGCATGAGCAGAGAGAGACACAATACAGAGAGACACAGAGACACAGACACAAGCAGAGAGAGTGAGAGACACAGGCACGCAGAGAGACAGAGAGAGACAAAACACAGACACGGAGACACACGGACGCATGAGCAGAGAGAGACACAATACAGAGAGACACAGAGACACAGACACAAGCAGAGAGAGTGAGAGACACAGGCACGCAGAGAGACACACAAGCAGAGAGACACACAGGCACACGGAGAGACACACAGACAGACAAGCAGAGAGAGACACAATACAGAGAGACACAGACACAAGCAGAGAGAGTGAGAGACACAGGCACACAGAGAGACAGAGAGAGAGACAAAACACAGACTCGGAGACACACAGACGCATGAGCAGAGAGAGACACAATACAGAGAGACACAGAGACACAGACACAAGCAGAGAGAGTGAGAGACACAGGCACGCAGAGAGACACACAAGCAGAGAGACACACAGGCACACGGAGAGACACACAGACAGACAAGCAGAGAGAGATAACACAGAGACGCAGACACACAAGCAGAGAGAGACACAGGCACACAGAGAGACAGAGAGAGAGAGAGACAAAACACAGACACGGAGACACATACGCAGAGACAGACAACACTGAGACACACAAAGAGAGACACAACACAGAGAGAGACACACAGACACAGACACAAGCAGAGAGAGAGACACAGGCACACAGAGAGACATAGACACACACGCAGAGAGAGACAACACAGAGACACAGACACACAAGCAGAGAGAGAGACACGGGCACACAGAGAGACAGAGAGAGAGAGAGAGACAAAACACAGACACGGAGACACAGACACATAAGCAGAGAGAGATAACACTGAGACATAAGCAGAGAGAGACACACGGAGACACACAGACACATAAGCAGAGAGAGACAACACTGAGACATACAGAGAGAGAGACACAGGCACACAGAGAGAGACACACACAGAGACACACAAAGAGAGATAACACACAGACACACAAACAGAGAGAGATAACACAGAGACACAGAGAGAGAGACACACACAGAGACACAGAGAGACACACACACATAGACACACAGAGAGAGACACAGAGAGAGAGACAGACACAGAGAGAGAGAGAGACACAGAGACACAGAGAGAGAGACAGGCACACAGAGAGATAACACAGAGACACACAGACACACAAGCAGAGAGGGAGACACAGAGAGAGAGACACACACAGACACAGAGAGAGAGACACAGGCACACAGAGATAACACAGAGACACACAAGCAGAGAGAGACACACAGACACAGAGAGAGATAACACGGAGACACAAGCAGAGAGGGAGACACACAGAGACACAGAGAGAGACACACACAGACACAGAGACACACAGACACACAAGCAGAGAGAGACAACACAGAGACACATACGCAGAGAGAGAGAGAGACACACATAGACACACAGAGAGAGACACACAGACAGACACACAAGCAGAGACAACACAGAGAGAGAGAGACACAGGCACACAGAGAGACACACACAGAGACACACAGAGAGAGATAACACACAGACACACAAGCAGAGAGAGATAACACAGAGACACAGAGAGAGAGAGACACAGGCACACAGAGATAACACAAAGACACACAGACACATAAGCAGAGAGAGACAACACTGAGGCATAAGCAGAGAGAGACACAGGCACACAGAGAGACACACAGACAAACAAGCAGAGAGAGAGACACACAGGCACACAGACACACAGAGAGAGACAAGACACACAGACACACAAGCAGAGAGAGACACACAGACACACAGAGAGAGATAACACAGAGACACACAAGCAGAGAGAGAGAGACACACACAGAGACACAGAGAAAGACACACACAGACACAGAGACACACAGACACACAAGCAGAGAGAGACAACACAGAGACACATACGCAGAGAGAGACACACACACATAGACACACAGAGAGAGACACACAGACACACACAAGCAGAGACAACACAGAGAGAGACACAGGCACACAGAGAGACGCACACAGAGACACAGAGAGAGATAACACACAGACACAGACACACAAGCAGAGAGAGATAACACAGAGAGAGAGAGACAGGCACACAGAGATAACACAAAGACACACAGACACATAAGCAGAGAGAGAGACAACACTGAGGCATAAGCAGAGAGAGACACAGGCACACAAAGAGACACACAGACAAACAAGCAGAGAGAGAGACACACAGGCACACAGACACACAGACACACAGAGAGAGACAAGACACACAGACACACAAGCAGAGAGAGACACACAGACACACAGAGAGAGATAACACAGAGACACACAAGCAGAGAGAGAGAGACACACACAGAGACACAGAGAGAGACACACACAGACAGAGACACACAGACACACAAGCAGAGAGAGACAACACAGAGACACATACGCAGAGAGAGACACACAGACAGACACACAAGCAGAGACAACACAGAGAGAGACACAGGCACACAGAGAGACGCACACAGAGACACAGAGAGAGATAACACACAGACACAGACACACAAGCAGAGAGAGATAACACAGAGAGAGAGAGAGACAGGCACACAGAGATAACACAAAGACACACAGACACATAAGCAGAGAGAGAGACAACACTGAGGCATAAGCAGAGAGAGACACAGGCACACAGAGAGACACACAGACACACAAGCAGAGAGGGAGACACACAGAGACACAGAGAGAGACACACACACAGACACACAAGCAGAGAGAGACACACAGAGGCACACAGAGAGACACACAGACACAAGCAGAGAGAGACAACACTGAAACATAAGCAGAGAGAGACACACAGGCACACAGAGAGACACACAGACACACAAGCAGAGAGAGACAACACTGAAACATAAGCAGAGAGAGACACACAGAGAGAGACAGACACAGAGAGAGAGAGACACAGAGACACAGAGAGAGAGACACAGGCACACAGAGAGATAACACAGAGACACACAGACACACAAGCAGAGAGAGACACACAGACACACAGAGAGAGACACACACAGACACAGAGACACACAGACACAAGCAGAGAGAGACAACACAGAGACACATACGCAGAGAGAGAGAGAGACACACATAGACACAGAGAGAGACACACAGACAGACACACAAGCAGAGACAACACAGAGAGAGAGACACAGGCACACAGAGAGACACACACACAGACACACAGAGAGAGATAACACACAGACACACAAGCAGAGAGAGATAACACAGAGACACAGAGAGAGAGAGAGAGACACACAGGCACACAGAGATAACACAAAGACACACAGACACATAAGCAGAGAGAGACAACACTGAGGCATAAGCAGAGAGAGACACAGGCACACAGAGAGACACACAGACAAACAAGCAGAGAGAGACACACACAGGCACACAGACACAAAGTCCAACACCTCGGCCACGGCCGAGGTGTTGGACTAGTCCTAAATAAACTGCCAAATCGCTGCGCGTGGCGCTAACGTTTTTTTATAAATAAATGCGTCGTTTAAAAATAAATTTATGCAACCAACACACCTGAAGATGACCGTTTGAGTTATGGTCGAAACGTCGTGAGATTTTTTATTGTTTTATATATATTTTATTATTTTGTTGTTTCCCTTCAACGTGGTGACTTTACCGAAAAAACTAAGAATATGAATTACTGCAGTCACGAAAGCTTTAAATCAAAATTTAACATGAATCCTTGTAAAAAAAAAAGGTTTTCAGTTTGGCTGCCAGAAAAAAAGGCGAAAAACCCCTTTTATTACATTTTGGTACTGGCGAAGGAGGTCTAATGATGTAAAAAAAGATTGTTTAAATTTTTTTTTTAATAGAATATCGTATTGTCATCAGTATGACATAAGTTTACCGAGTTTGTCGTCGATACCACATTGGGAAGTGAGTTAAAATTGAGTTACAAGATTTGAGGATACTACAACAACAACAACAGACGGAGCGAGTTAATAAATAGCGTGTAAAATTGGAATCACCGAGAGTCTTGGTGAATAAAGCGCTCCACCTAGCGTTTACCTGTTATAAACCTTGTTCATGTGTAGTAGTACCACAGTAATTACCCTGTGATCTGGTAATTTGTAAAAGGTGGGGTGAAGGTAGGCTTGTTGCTTTTAACCTTTTATTTTACCTGCTGAAGGGTTAAAGGTAAGGGTAGAGTGATTGTATTGTTGTAAGGTAAAAGGTAGGGTAAAGGTAGGCTTGTTGTTTTTAATCTTTTACCTTACCTGCTGAAGGGTTAAAGGTAGGGGTAGAGTGATTGTATTGTTGTAAGGTAAAAGGTAGGGTAAAGTTAGGCTTTGTTGCTTTTAACCTTTTACTTTACCTGCTGAAGGGTTAAAGGTAGGGTAGAGTGATTGTATTGTTGTAAGGTAAAAGGTAGGGTAAAGGTAGGCTTGTTGTTTTTAATCTTTTACCTTACCTGCTGAAGGGTTAAAGGTAGGGGTAGAGTGATTGTATTGTTGTAAGGTAAAAGGTAGGGTAAATGTAGGGTTGTTGTTTTTAACCTTTTACCTTACCTGCTGAAGGGTAAAATATAAGGTAGAGTGATTTGTGGTGAAGTAAAAGGTAGGGTAAAGGTAGGCTTGTTGTTTTTAATCTTTTACCTTACCTGCTGAAGGGTTAAAGGTAGGGGTAGAGTGATTGTATTGTTGTAAGGTAAAAGGTAGGGTAAAGGTAGGCTTGTTGTTTTTAATCTTTTACCTTACCTGCTGAAGGGTTAAAGGTAGGGGTAGAGTGATTGTATTGTTGTAAGGTAAAAGGTAGGGTAAAGGTAGGGTCGTTGTTTTTAACCTTTTACCTTACCTGCTGAAGGGTTAAAGGTAAGGGTAGAGTGATTGTATTGTTGTAAGGTAAAAGGTAGGGTAAAGTTAGGCTTTGTTGCTTTTAACCTTTTACCTTACCTGCTGAAGGGTAAAAGGTAAGGGTAGAGTGATTGTATTGTGGTAAAGTAAAAGGTAGGGTAAAGGTAGGTTCGTTGTTTTTAACCTTTTACCTTACCTGCTGAAGGGTTAAAGGTAAGGGTAGAGTGATTGTATTGTGGTAAAGTAAAAGGTAGGGTAAAGGTAGGCTCGTTGCTTTTAACCTTTTACCTTACCTGCTGAAGGGTTAAAGGTACGGTAGAGTGATTGTATTGTGGTAAAGTAAAAGGTAGGGTAAAGGTAGGCTCGTTGTTTTTAACCTTTTACTTTACCTGCTGAAGGGTTAAAGGTAGGGTAGAGTGATTGTATTGTGGTAAAGTAAAAGGTAGGGTAAAGGTAGGCTCGTTGTTTTTAACCTTTTACCCTTACCACAATACAATCAATTACAGCCAACGTCAGTTTACCGTGGACAATTAGACCCTAGCCGAAACATAACATGTAAAAAAAGATCGGTTTAAAAAATATATATTTTTTTATTAATGATAGAATATCGTATTGTCATCAGTACGACGTAGGCATATCAAGTTTGCAGTCGATACCACGTTGAGAAGTGGGTTACAAATTGAGTTGCAAGATTTGAGGATGCAACGGCAATGACAACAACAGACAGGTTGAGTTAAATGAAAGCTTGCCATAAAAAACACATTCTCCTGCGGAGGGAGGGAGGAGCTGCTGGTAGGAACGTTTGGGGTTGCTCGGTCAATGGTCAGGGTCAACAACAACAAAAACACGTGGTGTGTTCCACACCACGTGGTGTGTGTTCTACACACACCACGTGGTGTGTGTTCTACACACACCACGTGGTGTGTGTTCTACACACACCACGTGGTGTGTTCTTCACACCACGTGGTGTGTTCCACACAATATGCCCCGACTGTGAGGGCGGGGCACAAGGCTGGTGTGAAGTTGGTGAAACGTTGAGTTTTATAAGGGGGGGGGGGCACCACGGGGTGACCAGCCCCTCCCCCACACCCAGCCCCTCCCCCACACCCAGCCCCTCCCCCACACCCAGCCCCTCCCCCACACCCAGCCCCACAACTCCCAGCCCCTCCCCACCCAGCCCCACCCTCCCCACCCCCCACCCAGCCCCACCCTCCCCACCCAGCCCCTCCCCCACACCCAGCCCCTCCCCACCCAGCCCCCATCCCCACCCAACCCCACCCCTCCCATTTTATCCGGGTGTCCGGATACACGTGGACAGACATCCACAGACATACACAACAATGAATCCCGCCCCCCCCGCCCCCCCCGCCCCCTGCCTGCCTCCTGTGAATGAATCCCGGTTGGGGTTCCAGTCCACCACTTTTTGCTACCGGCATCAGTCACAGCAGACATGCCGGCTATCGCCATTTCCACCCGAAAGACGATCCGCCTGTGTTGCATTCGAAACGTCGCGATTTTGTTTACTTGTACCCCCGCAGTCGCGAAATCTTCAGGTCGAGGTGGTGCGTCCGCAAATGCATTCCTTTGCGCCTCGATGCCGACGCGTGGGCTGGTGTTTGCCGCCCGCAGCTGACGCCTCCCCTCTTGACACCTCCTCTTGCAGAATTGGTCTGATGGCGCAAAGGCACTCGGCGCGGCTCGCCACGGCACGGAAACAGTGCGACCGTTGTGCGTACAGCACGGTGCGGACTGGAAGTCTGACGCAGCATCAGATGGCTCACACGGGCGAGAAGCCCTTCAAGTGCACCGCGTGCGGGGACGCGTTTGCGTGGCCATTTTCTCTCAAGAAACACCAGAGGACACACACGGGCGAGAAACCCTTCGGGTGCCCTCTGTGCGCGATGGCGTTTGCGGATCCGTCGAGTTGCCGCCGGCACCTGAGGAGGCACACGGGGGAGAAGCCCTTCAGGTGCGGTGCGTGCGAGGTGGCGTTTGCCGATTCGTCGACTCTTCAGAGGCACCAGAGGACGCACACGGGCGAGAGACCCTTCAGGTGCGGTGCGTGCGGGAAGGCGTTTTCCCAGTCGTCGAATCTTGCGACGCACCAGAGGACGCACACGGGAGAGAGACCCTTCAGGTGCGGTGCGTGCGGGAAGGCGTTCGCACAGTCGGCGCATCTCCAGGCGCACCAGAGGACTCGTACGCATCAGGAGACAAGCAAGAGGGAGTGGCGCCTGACATCGACCTGCGGCAGCCAAAGTGCCGCGCGGAGCCCGGCGCTCGCGAAGAAGGTGCCGGGAGAGAAGCCCGGCTTGGGCGCTTCCCGCGGCACCGGGGTTGGATGTGAGGAGGTGACTGTGAAATGCGAAGGAGTGACGTCGATGGGCGGAGGAGTGAAGGTGGAATGGGAAGATGAAGGTTCGACTCCGACATGGGACCTTGGCATCGACGGGGGCAGCGTGAAGCGGGAGGAGAATTCTGACTGTGAGGCAGAGCGAGGCAACTGCCAGCAGTTTGTGGAAGTGGAGGTGTGGGTGGACTTCCTCCGAGACGATGCAAAGTCAAGTGGAGACCCGGTGAATGTGTAGGCTTGAGGCGGTTGGCGCTCCGACAGATGCACCTTCGTCCGGAGGCCTTTTCACTGAAAAGAACGCGGAGTTGAACACTGAAATCCTTGGGTTCAAACCTGCGGGGTGAGAGCGGCCAGTCTTTGGCGGACCTGTGGGTTGGGTGGATCTCTCACCAGGAGGGATGCGTACTCTTTGGCTCTCTCGGTAAAGTCGCGTAGGTATAAGTAAAATCAATTGAATCTCGACGTTTCGATTGCAACACAAGCAATCATCATCAGGTGGGAAAAAACACAAACCCTAACTGCTTCCGTCATCATCAGGTGTGAAAGCTTTCACACCTGATGATGACGGACAGACGCCCGCGTCGCTGACGGACGCTTGTGTTTTTTTTTAACTCCTAACCAGGTTAAAACCCTAACTGCTTTGTCATTAAATTTTGATTTAAAGCTTTCGTGACTGCAGTAATTCATATTCTTAGCTCTTTCGGTAAAGTCACGTTGAAGGGAAACAATAACGTGTTATGGTCGAAACGTCGTGAGAATTTTTATTGTTTTATGTATATTTTATTATTTTATTGTTTCCCTTCAACGTGACTTTACCGAAAGAACTAAGAATATGCTTTGTCATTATATAGAAATAGGTTTCGGCCTTTTAGCTGGCACAAAAACTGACACCTTTATTCAAGGCATCGTGTTTGCAATGACCACAACACAAGCAGTCAAAATGCAAACAAAAGAGACAACTCTGATAATGATATTGGCACTGTCCTTGAATTTGATTGGTCCACACCCGAGACGGCTTTTCTTAGAGCCTTTTAGTCTCCACTGGTGTTGGACCTTTTGGCGTCTTCTGGTCCAACACCAATGGAGAGACTAAAGGGCTCTAAGAAAAGCCGTCTCGGGTGTGGACCAATCAAATTCAAGGACAGTGCCAACATCATTATCAGAGTTGTCTCTTTTGTTTGCATTTTGACTGCTTGTGTTGTGGTCATTGCAAACACGATGCCTTGAATAAAGGTGTCAGTTTTTCGTGCCAGTTAAAAAGGGTAAAACCTATTTCTGTATCTTGTTACTGGCGAAGGAGGTCTCATAATGCTTTGCCATTGTCGTCTGTTGCATCTGCCGGGTACGACTACTCCACTCGGCACTCTCCCCATCCCTCCCTCTCCCCCCATCCCCTTTGCTCCTCCCCCTTCCTGGCCTGTACAGTCCGTGCCTCGGTACGCGACTGCTTTGGCACGCCGTCGAATTTGGTAACGCGCCGTGTTTTGACGAGGAAAAAAGATGTCTTGGCGTGCGACTTCTTGCTTGCTAGAACTCGTGTAGACCCCCGTTCACGACTGACACTGAGCGCCGCTCCTCAGTCCGTCTGCAGGTCTCGTTCAGTGCGCACGACCCCCTCGCTGTAACTCTCTGCGAACGTTCACGCGTTTTTGTTCGACAAAGTCGACTCCTCTCGGCAAGCTAAAGTGACGCCTAAATTTAAAATTGTTATTTAAATGTATTCCAGTGCATTTATGCGTTCATTTTAATTTACGCATTTTAGTAATAAGTAGTGTCTAAGTTATTATAGGTACAACCACGTTAATGTATAATATGCCAAATAAACATTTCTTATAGGTGCCTCGGTGAATGTGTATGCTTTGACTTTAACGTAGCTATTTCTGTGACCAGTTACAAGCTAATCACTCAGCTATTTCAATGCTAAATTCTATGCTAATTCCTTTGTCAAGGGGTGCCTCTGCGGATGTGTATGCTTTAACTTAGCTATTTCAATGCTAAATTCTATGCTAATTCCTTTGTCAAGGGGTGCCTTTGCGGGTGTGTATGCTTTAACTTTAACGGAGCCATTTCTGTGACCAGTCACAAGCTAATCACTCGGCCATTTCAATGCTAAATTTCTATGCTAATTCCTTTGTCAAGGTGCTTTGTTTCTTCTCACACAGCTTAAAGGTCGCGATCTGAGCGTGGCTTTTTTCACTCCAGCGCTGTCCTCCAGACAGCCTGGTCCCTTCACCTGATGAAGGCCGCGCTTGTGTTGTGGCCGAAACGTCGTGATTTTTGTTATTTTATTTTTTAACCTACGTGACTTTACCCAATAGAACCAAAGAGTATCGTTTCTTATACACCGGAACGGATTTTTACCTTTACATTTAATGAGAAATTTTCATTTGGTGGACGTCGTTTTCGGTACAAGTCCTAGCCCTTCTGGAACGAAATTGTCGACGCATACCGAGGTGTCGCCACTGTACAACCTCTTGCGGCAACAACAACAACAACTCTCTCCCACTTCAGCGGGGGGGGGGGGAACAAAAAAAAATTTACCCGGTTAAAACCTAAACGTTCTTTCCGTGCTTTTCCCACCTGATGGTGATTGCTCGTGCGCGTGCAATCGCAACGTCCCGAGTTGCTTTTACAACCGGCGTGACTTTGCCGGAAGAGCCGCGGCGCGTTCGCTTTTGTCATCGTGATGAGTGGCGTTACCATGTTTTTGGGTCCGAGGAGAGCGGAGACGATTCGCTTTGAGGCGACGTCGTTGATCTCTCTTGAAGCGGGGGGCGGTGGTTAGCGGGCCCCGGCTCACCGACAACCTGGGGAGGTGTGTAGCCCTCTGGGCTGGTGTGTCGCTTACCACCGGGGGCGAGTGCTCTCAAACCCTCCGGCTAGTGGAGGCTGCCGGACCTGACCCGTGCCGCCGGGGTCTTCGGGTTCTTGCCGACCACTGGCCCACCCGGTCCCGGGCCCTCAGAAGGACGTCGGTTCCCAGCGGAGGGGGTCGGTCAAGTCAACCAGGGTGTCCTGGCCTAGCTGGTCTCCTTACCCGTCCTCGGCATTCCCGAGTTCACCGCCCCGCTACGGGGCGCCGCGTCTGCTGCCGCAGGTCAGTGTATGCAGTGCCCAACGGTGACGTCACAGCAGAACCTTGGCGGCTGCGGGCGGCGGTTCGCCCCGGGAACGTGCCTTTTGCCATCCAAAGCGCGTCCCGCACGCGACGGCCGTGTGATCCACGTGGCTCTGGCCAGCGCAGATCGCGAACGCGCGGTGCCGACGGTATCGCTGGGCCCCTCGCCCGGTTGTCGGATTGACGTTTTACTTGAATATATATGTGTGTGTGTGCGCTTAGCTCTTTCGGTAAAGTCACGTTGAAGGGAAACAATAAAATAATTTAAAAAATATATATATATGAAACAGTAAAAATTCTCACGACGTTTCGACCATAACACAAACGGTCGTCATCAGGTCGTGAGAATTTTTATTTATATTTTATTGTTTCCCTTCAACGTGGTGACTTTACCGAAAGAGCTAAGAATATGAATTACCGCAGTCACGAAAGCTTTGAATCAAAATTTACTTAAATATGTTTGCACGTCTTGCAAAACCCCTCCGTGACCAATTTACTCGCGATCCGAGGTTTTACTGCACATGCATGTACGGGGGCGGATCCAGGATTTCAGGCCGGTGGTGACATTCAACAACAAATGTTCATAGCAAGAATGATTTAGAGAGTAGATGACGTGTGTGTATGACGTGTGTGTGTGTATGACGTGTGTATAACGTGTGTATGACATGTGTGTGTATGACGTGTGTGTTTATGACGTGTGTATAACGTGTGTATGACGTGTGTATAACGTGTGTATTACGTGTGTGTATGACGTGTGTATAACGTGTGTATGACGCGTGTGTGTGTATTACGTGTGTATGACGTGTGTGTGTATGACGTGTGTGTATATGACGTGTGTATAACGTGTGTATGACGTGTGTATAACGTGTGTATTACGTGTGTGTATGACGTGTGTGTGTGTATGACGTGTGTGTGTATGACGCGTGTGTGTATGAAGTGTGTATGACGTGTGTGTGTGTATGACGTGTGTGTGTGTGTATGAAGTGTGTATGACGTGTGTGTGTATGACGTGTGTGTGTGTATGACGTGTGTGTGTGTATGAAGTGTGTATGACCAGGGCCGGAGCCAGGATTTCAGGCCGGGGGTGACATTCAACAACAAATGTTAACATCACGAATGATTTAGAGAGAGTCAGGCTGTTGAACTTAGACGCCATGGGTTGACGGACAGACTCTCTGACAATGCAGTGACACGGAGTTCGCCAGACCGAGTGGCGTACACTTACACGCAGAATGTCACCGCCCCTGTCACCACCCCCTCCCCCTGGCTCCGCCCCTGTGTATGACGTGTGCGTATGACGTGTGTATGACACGTGAGTATGACGTGCGTATGACATGTGTGTGTATGACGTGTGTGTGTATAACGCGTGTGTATGAAGTGTGTATGAAGTGTGTATGACGCGCGTGTGTGTATGAAGTGTGTATGACGTGTGTGTGTGTATGACGTGTGTATGACGTGTGTGTATGTATGACGTGTGTATGTATGACATGTGTGTGTGTATGACGTGTGTGTGTATGACGTGTGTGTATAACGTGTATGACGCGTGTGTGTATGACGTGTGTGTGTGTATGACGTGTGTATGACGTGTGTGTGACGCGTGTGTGTATGAAGTGTGTATGACGTGTGTGTGTATGACGTGTGTGACGTGTGTATGACGCGTGTGTGTGTATGACGTGTGTATAACGTGTGTGTGACGCGTGTGTGTATGACGTGTGTGTGTATGACGTGTGTATAACGTGTGTGTGACGCGTGTGTGTATGACGTGTGTGTGTATGACGTGTGTGTGACGCGTGTGTGTATGAAGTGTGTGTGTATGACGTGTGTGTATGACTTGTGTGTGTATGACGTGTGTATAACGTGTACGTGACGTGTGTGTGTATGACGTGTGTGTGTGACGTGTGTGTGACGTGTGTGTGTATGACGTGTGTGTGTGTATGACGTGTGTATGACGTGTGTGTGACGCGTGTGTGTATGAAGTGTGTCACCGCTGTCACCCCCCCCCCCCCTCCTGGCTCCGCCCCTGCGCATATACAGATACACAATCGTGATTTGAAGCTTTCACGATTGCAGGAATCCAAACTCTTTGGTTCTTTCGGTCAAGTCTCACGCAAGTTGGTAGAGACGGAGAATCGTCGCGACGTCTCGGGTGAAAATCGCGATGGCCGAGATGTCTGCTGCCATTTTATTTTATTTATAACCTACGTGGCTTTTACCGACAGAACCAAAACGAGTATTCTGTGTGTGTATATATATAACACGCACGTGACTGGCGCGTGTACGCTCATTAATGCGTTCGTGATGTAGTTTA